GTTTTGCACCGATACCATGGGGGGGGGGGGGAGAGAGAGAGAGTAGCTGGCACCCATCCACAGAAAAAAAATGAGCGGGATACACCATAGAGCAGACGAGTCGGCCTTCAACCACCCACTACCCTTACCGGTCACAGTTACGCCACCAATTTTCCCTCCACAAGGAGTGCGTACAGTTGCTGATGTGCTTCCTCCCCCGCTGTCTGGATCATCTCTGTGGCCGTCTGCATAAGCAGCCTACGGCGCATCAGCGCACTCCTCTTCTCATACAGGGTATCGAAGAGGTGAGGAACTACAGGGTGGTCTGCCAACCCTAACTGCACCACTCCACTGGTGAGCCGGACGACCAGCATGAGGTCGGCCTGCCAGCCGCCACCCACAGGACGCTGCTGGCCCTCACCAGAGCGCTCCGATTCAATGATTTTAAAAAGTTCGTCGGCACACCGACGAGAAAGCTTTAGATGTTGTGGCAAATTCACACGCAGGCAGGCGGATATAAGAACGTTGATGTCCTCTGGGGAACGAAGTATAACTCCAGTTTGACACCTTTCGTCCTCTTCCAACGTTGCCGCGACACTGTCCAGAAGCAGGGTGGTCGCATGTGCCACGTCGGCGAGGTCCAGAAGCTCGAATAACTTGAGAATGGTGACACAGTGTGGGATAGGCAGGGTATTGTCAGGACTCTGCGAAATTGCCACCGTTCGCTCGACAAGCGTTGTTATTACCGCCTTCTCTAGATCAACGTGGGCAATGGTGAAAGCCTCTGAAAGGGTTGCGAGTACACCTCCATCGCAATTATCCTTAACTTCTTGAAATCGCTTGGCGACTGCGCTAAGCAGCGTCCGGGATCGAACGCCGCACTGAACAAATTGTCGTGTAAGGTCTGCAAATTCACGTGGAGACGTTTGCGGGAATAGCACCGCCGCAGCGTGTTCTGTCATACAGCGCAGAATATTGTACTCTGTCGAGCTTTTCCTTTCGATGAGGCGAAGAACAGCCAACGTAGTCGTGAGTGAAAGAGCCGTGTGGTGCGATGCCATGTTTTGCAGCACAAGGTCGCTTGTCGGATCGTTCGGGAATGCCTCGGTGAGGCACTCTAGTACCACAACAGCGTTGCTCGCGACAGAGGGGAGCGAGGCTGGGTCGCTCTGCAGCAAGTGACGCACAAGCCCGAGAAACACCGGCTGCGCGGCGGTGAGGCAAGCCGTCTGAACACTCTTATCCCACGTAGCATTCACACCACACATTACAAGCCGCACTATAAGTGGCAGTGAGAACTTTAACTTAATGTCAGCCACACGTGACAGCAGCACACCAAAGACGTACTGGTGGCTCACCCGCGCTGCCGCGTAGCTCTCGAGACACTCGACAACCTCTTTTGGACTAAGCATCTGCCGCAGTTGTATTGTCCGCAGGATGTATGCTTTCATTACGCGGTCCTGTAAATCACCGTAGCGCTCCCTGTTCAACTGTGAAAAGCCCTGCAATACGAGCGGCAAATCTGAGGGGGAACACTGCTGCCGCACCTGAAGCACCGTCTCCGCAAGCGACGTTGGAAGATCACCTAGAAACTTCAGGTCTGCGTCCGTGAGGGCACCTCCCAACAGCTGCAACTTTGTGGCGATGCGCACAACGATGCCAGCTTCCCCCGGACTTAGCTGGTAGCCAGAATCGACAATACGTCGCAGTATAGCTGCGCAGGCAAGTCGATTGGTGTCCTCCAACTCGCACAGCACCTGCAACGCCAACATTGTCTCAGGCACAGAGAGTGAGGAATTGGGTGCTCCCGCCTCCGTCGCCAGTTGACTACGCAACGCAATCACCGCTTCAGTGTCGGCAGGCACATGGAACTCGACGAATGCCCCCAAAACCGCCGATACATCAGCAGGTAGTAGCAACGGTCCAAGTGCTTCTACTACTGTGAGGTACCGTGCTGTAAGCTTTTCCTGCCGCAACTGACACACAGCAGCAACAGAAATAAGGAGGCGTGCCGCTATTTTGCTGTTTTGGCGCTTCTGCTCTTTTGTTCGTGCTTGATTAAGCTGTTTTGGCGTCGCAATCTCTACAGCAGTGGCGAGTTGATCCAGCAGCTGGCGAGAGAGGTGATGAATCGTGCGAGGAACGCACATCACGACCGTGATCTCGCTTATCGCAGCTAGATCTAGCGCCTCATCCCGCTGACTAGTCCCATTATTCGTTTGCTGCAGAACACGCGTCAGTGCAGGATCCAACACGTCGGTGCGGAACTCCCGCAACTCAGCAGGCTCCACCTCCACCGCATACTCCGAGACGAGGCGGAACAACAGACTCACGATAGAGAAGACATGGTAGCGCTCCCGCGTCGTCTCAATGCTGCCACCACGCTGAATGGCGGCGGCAATCGGCTTCAAATGAGCGGCAACAACATCGTTAAGGACGGTGCTGCAATGCCGTAATCCTGGTGATCCAGGGTGTCTTGAGAGACCAAGGTCCCGCTGTTTCGCACCCACGTGCGAAACAAGAATGTTCAACCGGTTCACTGTGTCTGACAAAGACGCGATATCATTGCCAGGGCCACCGGATCCGAGGGATTTAACGACCATTGTGTGGAGCCCCACGAGTTGTTTCGCTGTCGTCGCATTCATACCACATGTAATGACGTAGACAGTGAAGTGTAGGACCTCCTGCAGCAACTGCATCGCAGCACCTTGCTCCGCATCGTTCATGACGCTATCACGCCTTGTTCTCGCCAACTGCCGCTGTACTGTCTCCACCACACGCGGCACAAAAAGCGCAGTCACCTCCGATAGGGATCGTTCAACCTCCAGAGACGTATTGTTTGGCATGTGATGCTGCAAAAGACGCTGACGCCTTCCAGCATGGCGGAAGCGCTCAACAAAGCCGTCTATCAACAGCGACAGCCCATCAACAAGGTAGTGATACGATCCCTCCCGCTCCAGCAGCGTGAGCAGCCGCACCAAATGCGTGCTCATCCTCTTCTCTTCCCCACGCACAAGAAGCTCAATCGCCGTCGCGAGAGCCAAATGTAAAGTCATCCCAAGTGACACGGAGCCCGATTTTCGGCCACCGCTATTAATGCTGCCACCATTCCTGTTCTTGTACGTTAACTCATTCTCCTCCAAAACTTCACGAAGGGACTTAGGCGCCTCAAGCAGCTCCGTCGGAGAGGCACCTGCTCGGCTTTCTGCTCGTATACGAGCCTCAATGAGTGTTGCGCTCTCAGACGTGAGCGACATAGCTAGGCGCGCCGGCAGCGGTGCAAGAGCAAACGACCGAGAGAAATTTGCAGCACCTTGCAGCAGTTCGAGCACCTCCAACGCGGAGTGTCCCACGCACAGGCCACTCTTCAACACAGCTTCAGGATCAAACCCAACAGAGAAGAGCGCAAACGCGACGTTTGCACGCCTTGACAGCGGAGGTAATTCCTGTAATCCTCCGTCTCTCTCATCATTCTCGTTTATCTCGGTATTGCCGCCATCATGCGTCGATGTCTCGCTTTCGGTGTTTATGCGCTGTAGCAGCTGCTCGAGAGCGTTGTCATCGGCACGTTCGCAAAAGAGCGCTGCACCTGTGAAAACGGCTGCCTCAATGGCGTCGCAGAGCTCCCTCGATGGTAATGCCCGCACTCGTTGCGCAATTTCCACGCTGCATAGCACATCCGAAAAAACTGCTGGCTGTGCACCAACACCGCCGCAGAGCTTCAGGAAGCAGTCCACCACATCGTGCTTTGTGCGCTCCCGCAGCTGCGGAGGAATGGCGGTGTCCACAATTGCTAACATCCGCAGCGCATCAAGCAGATCAATGCAGTGTGCCCGCACATCCAGCACGCTGCACATTGCACCCTCAAGTGCCGCTTTTTGGCGCAAGTACGCGTCCACTGCAATCTCCAAATGGGAAATGCACTTTACCCAAATGTCTGCCTCCTTTGTGTGTACCTGCGACTCACCGGCCATCTCAGTGGTGAGAAGAACAACCGCCATATCCAAGATGCCTTCGCTGAGAGACTGCAGTTTGGAACTACTCGCCCTATGCGCGATGAGATTGGCAGTTGAAACGGCAACCTCCACGAGCAGGGCCTGTGTGGTATCCTCCAGCCACTTCTTGTGATCGCAGGTATTGCCCTTCAACGCCGCACCCCTCGTTTTTTCCTTCCTTTCACTCTCTTTTCCCTTCTGCTTCTGCTTCTTTTTCGTCGCTGCGGCGTTAGTCCTACTAACAGCAGCGGTAGCCTCAAAGTGGCTCCGTCTTAGTTCCAGGGCAAGCCACATCAACGCCTTCTTCATTTCAGCATACTCGTGGTGTTGTTGCTGCTGCTGCTGCTGTGTCCTTGAGGTGATATCCAGCTCCTCGCGCCACAGGCCAATTGCACGCACGAGTTCCCCCACGACCCCCTCGTACACCGGTGCACTGTTAAACGCGCTAGCCCGGTACAAACACAGAAAGGCGACAAGAACACTTAACTGATCGACATTTCTCACGACATCTGTTGCGTGAAGAACGGTTACCCTATTTCGAGGGTGTCGACACTGCGGCAGCTGCATGCTTAGCAGGTGATGAAGCTCTGGGAATTCTTCCGGTAGTTTCACTGCACGAGTAAGCAGTGCACCCAGTGCGGCAGACCCCAGTGTGGTGGTTGTCCCTCTTACACTGGATCTTTCGAGGGAGGGGGGAGAAGAGACATCTCCCTTGTTCTCATCTTGGGTCTCTGTTTTATCGGCTCCCTCCAGCGGTGCATCTGCGCAGGCAGTTCTCCATTCCCCGACTATACGGAGAACATCAACTGCGAAGAGTGGTGTGGGCTCTTGCATTGTTTCGCACACTTCTTTTGGTATCTCCGCCACCACAGCGGGCGGTGGCACGATCGTCTTCTTTGTGCTGGTTGCAGAGGCATGTGTGGCACGCGGTGCTGCGTCCACTCGGGTATCAGTCACTTCCTTCGACTTCTTTCGACCACGCTTTGGTGGGATTGAATCAGGCTTCTTTGCACCAGAAGCAGCAGTTTCTGCTTTTTCTGCTGCTGGTGGTGGTGCCGTAGTTGCGGTGGCCGCAGCAGCTGTGGCCGTGCTCACCGTCATTTTGGTGCGCCTTTTTGGAGCTAACAGATGTGCGGCAGTGCTGAAAAAGACTCTGCCGCACTCCGCAAAGCGCATCGCGGACGCAACCCTCCATCCTTGGCGCCTGCCGAGCTGCAGCATCGTCGCGGGTTATTTCTTTATACCCTTCACGTCAATGTGTACGTGGCGTGGTTTAAACCGCACACACACACACAGAGACACAAAAGAAAATAAAATAGGAAAACACACAACGAAAAACAAAACGACACATAGAGAATATTTAACGTTAAAACATACCTGGCTAAAGGTCTGGGACAGCACCACCAGAAAAATAGCACATCTTCGAGAAGCGCTGGTAACTTCGCATAAATCGAAAAAAAAAAATCAAGCATCGGAGGTTGTTGGTGCCGGAGTGCTCACCGTCTGTCCTTGCGGAAGGGCCACACACCCGTGCCGGAGGATAGATCGCACGTCAGGAACGACCAGCAACGCCTCCAATAATGGAATGAGCGCAAGCAGCACATCTTCATTCGTATCACCACTCACCGAATCTTCTATTGCAGGTGGAAGAAATGGAGGAATGACGAGTGCATTCTCCCGGTTTACTACCACACACTCCTCCACGTTGTCCACCATGATCATCAGTTCAGGTGGCACCTTCAAGATGCGCAGGTCCTTCACAAACACTGTGTCACCTACGTTGCCGCTACCGCGGTTGTGTGTCTTGAAACGCTCGCCGCCACTGCGACTGAGCACAATGGGCCTAACATTCGGTTTAGCAGACCCGTACTCTTGAGTTGCGGAGACCACAGTGTCCGCCGCATCACTCAAACTTGCATCACTAGAAGAGACTGTATTAGCTGCATCGCTTCGCCCCGCAGACGGTGCCAAGGCAGAACGTGTTGCGTGTCTGCAGTGCTGGCGATAATAGCGCCGTTGGATGAGGTGCTCGGGATCAAGGCGACGAAGAATGGAGTCCGCATACGGTTTTGTTGAAGAAGTAAACAGAACGATGTTAAAAAGCTTTGCCATTGTACTAAGGAAAAGCCTCACATGAGGTCTTTCCCATACAAAAAACAGTTCTGCTCCAGAAGCCGTTGGTATTACCTCTGAAAACGTTGGTGGGTGACGAAAGGCGCCAATTTTGGTTGAAACAAAGCAAAGTGTCTCGTCAAGATCCATAATAAGAACCTTCTGCCGCGTGGCCTGATAGGAAAGCACGTGGTGCGAGGTGATGGAGGCGATGGAATGCATCGGCATTCTCGAGCCGACCGTACGGTCAAATTGAATTCGTTTACTGCTTTCGCGCCGATAGACCACTGAAGCGAATCCATGCAGGAACTTCTTGTCAACACTACCAGTCTCAGCGCGACGCCCTGTAGTCACACCCCACTGCGGACGACGTGGGACGCTGGTGGAGCTGCTGTACTCGTCAGTGGTGAAGGACAACTCATCAAAGTGACCGCCATGTCTTGCGGGAGTTCGACCGTAGGAATGCGGCGGCCATTGCGGGGCAGTGTGCCTCGTGGGCAATACTGACACTGTGGGCTGCTGAATGGGACCCACGACATTGCTCACGAGGCGGTGCAGGCTCTCAGAGTAGCGCAGGTGATACTGTGGCGACACAAGGAGTGTGGTCCGGCTATTTGGCAGCCACTCGGCAAGCTCACCCTTTCGGCCCCGCAGCAGCCGGCGCTGGACCCACCATTCACCCTCCATGACGTCATCTTTCCCGCTAGAGGAGCCATCAGTTCGTTCTGTCGACGCGGCGCGACCGTCCCTGCCGCTGTTCTCTTTCGGTGATGAATCATCGAGAGAGGATTCTGCGAACTCTGCTGTTGTGCTGCCACATGACGAAGTGCGGGGCAATGAGGTCTCAACGTGGCAACGGCTCCGTGCCATCGCAGCTTTTTTCATTCTCAGCTGACGCAGCGGGTGCGGATAGGCAAGATGGCTGCGCCCTGTGAAGAAGCAAAACAGCACGTAAAGCGTCGTGTGGATGTGCCTCCATGCCATTACGCCGTCCACCACTGTCTGCACAAAAAAGCGGGCCACGCATGGAAATACACTCTTGAGCAGCCGCTGGATACTGTCCATCATCTCTTCACTCAACATATATATTCATGCATATTTATATGAAAAAAGGTAAGAAATTTTTTTTTGAAATGAAAGAACATGGAGAAAATATAAATTTGCACATTATATGCTCTACGTCTATTCGTACTGGGGTGACGCTTATTGTGGCTCTATACACAAACAAGCAGAACGGCATGTATCCCATTAATCGTATTACACTTCTTTCTCTCATTTTTTTTCTCTTTTCTTGGGGAGGTGAAGGGGGAAGCCACATTTTGCTTCCAGCTTTCAGTCCTACTCTACGTCGGCGCCATAGCCAGCGTCAGCGACTTCCAGTGGATCCTCTGCCTGCCGCCGCATGGCCTCCTCTCGTCGTTGCCGTTTCGACTGCAGCTTTTCTTCCCGCCGCACTCGCTTTTGTCGCACGTTCTCGTCCTGTTCAGCCTTCCGCTTCGCCTTTTCACTCCGCTTCGCGTGCACCTTCATCCCGTTTCGCGCCACCTCATCAGGTGTCTTCTTGACATGCTGATGAAACAGTACCTCACCACATGCAAAGCCATTGGTGACCTTCACGAGCCGCAGGGTCAGGCGGGGGCCGATCTCCTGCAGCTTAATGCGGCACTGCTCGCGGTGCTGGCGAAATGGCTGCGCGAGCGGTACCTCTTCTCCCTCGCCATCAGTGTCAGACCACACATCCTCACGGTCAAGAACGTCGTCTATAGAGTCCAACGTGCCAAGTTTCGTTGGGCACCGGCGCTCAAGCAGCTTCTTTACCGTCTTGCTGACACCTACAGCCTTAGCGTTGACAAAGTAATGCCGCACCTCCACGAGATGTTCTACATGGTCGTAGTGAAAGAGGCACACGCGCTGAATGTCGGAGTTCTTAACGAGCTGGACGTTCAATGTGGGAAACATACCCTTGAAGGTAGCCTCCAGGAGCGGCACCTCTGGGCGGCGCTGCGCGTCGGGGTGCGTAAAGTTGTTCATCACCACAATAGGCGACACCTCCCACACGGCGTGGTCAAGACTGACAGGGCGTCGTTGCTTCGCCGCAATCTCATGGCACAGCGTGAAGGAAAGGACACGAAACGACAGAGTTGGGCCGTTTGAAAATCGCATGATGCGCAGCGAGGTGCCGTGCGACGGCGCGGTAAACAGCTGCAGGTGCGAGACACTAAATGTCGAGGCGATGGCAAGAAAATCCTTGAGTGAGCGATTTTTACCGTGAAGGTTTTTGCTGCTCCAAGGGAAAAACACCGATCTCCAGTCGTGCATGAGAGCGCGGACATTATTTCCGACTTCGCCTCTGTAGATAATGATGGACTTTGGCGTCGCCTTGTCCGCCTCGGTGGTGTCCACCGTCCCTGGCATCGCCTTAGACTTGCCCATACTTGCCACTGCTAAAGCCTTGTGGTAGCCGTCATCATCAATAGAATAACAGAATGGGAGAATAGAGCAAGGTGCCAATGTCAGTAAGCAATAACAACCTTATCCCTACATCCCCCCACCGCCCCCCTCCCCACACACAAAGAAAGAGTATTTTCACTTCTGTCGTATGCATAAAAATAAAAACAAAAAAATGTGTCATAACCCTTTCCAGAGTAGGAAAGGCAATAGAAGTTAACAGATGCATGCAATTGTTTTTTGCCTAGCAGAGCCAGTAGCCTGGGTTGCTCACTGTACCAGCAACAAGGCCAGCGTACTGGTGCGAGCAGGCATCAATCACACACATTGCATCTTCCACACCACGTATCTCACCCCTGTACGCCAACTCATTCCGCTTCTTCCCATCAGTAGTCTTGTAGTCGCGGAACCACTCCACGATAGTGTTCTTCAACTCCAAAGGGACGTTCTTAAGGCTTCCGTACATGTCTCCTTCAGGCTGAAGCACCTCTGTGATGACCTTCCAGTCCGTCTCACCCTCGTCAATAAGGCCCAGCACTCCCAGCACGCGAACAGCTTGAATAGTGCCGATAGCAGCAGGCGATTTTGACACCTGTACAACATCAATGGGATCACCATCACCACAGCACCTTGTCTCAGCGTCCACCGTGGATGGGTCCTCCCATGTGCGAGGGGCGAAGCCGTAATTGAACGGGATGTCTCCATATGTAAAGAATCGCAACGGTTTTCCCTCCTTCGCGTATACATCCTGTGCAATGGGGTTGTATGGCTCCTCCTTCAGTAGTTCCATCTTCGCCCGGCTCCCTTTCGGAATTTCACACACAAATGTAATGATGGACGCGTCAGCGACAGGGTGCAATGGGAGTTCGTGCCAGGAGGAGTGCTTCGTTGCCTCCCCGCTAGCGAAGTGCATTCGCCATGCGTGTGTACCGGTAGTTCCTAATTCTTTTCTTGACCACTTAGGCAACAACAGACTCGCAGCTGCAGAAGCAGCAGTGGCGGTGGAATGCCATATGACTCTTGTGCCGCGCATCACAGCCTACAAAAAAAAAAACTATTCTGAAGCAGGAAAGCGAAGAAACAAAGAATAACTGTGCGTATCTATAAATGTAGTCACCCCCCCCCCTCATTTTTAAATATTGGTCACTCACACAGTTTCTCCCTGTCGTGCACTAATCACTGCCCTTGCAATTCATTTTCGCACTTGGCTAACTATCGTGTGCTGGATAAGAGAATCCCGCAACACTGTCGCAGCGCACGCCCCACGAAACCGAGCACAGGGCCAAGAACAGCCCATGCATAAGACCAAACGAGTCCGACAGCGCGGCGTGCGAAAGGTACGAAGCTTAACGCATACCACAACAAGCAGAACACCTGAACCCCCGCAAATATGAGGGAGAAAAGGCTCGACTTCCAGTACAAGGCTGCGACAAGAGTCATGATGATAGACACAGCGTACATAGCAGCCGCCTCCATACGCTTTGCGTCAAAGATGGAACGGAATTGTTGCCGCAGGCCAACGAGAAAGGTCGTTGAACCCACACAAAACAAATTCCCAACGGTGAGAAAAAAGGCAAATTTTTTTGGGAACACGGCAACGGCAGGGGCGAAAAAGGTGGCGATGCCAATAAAGCACAAACCCATACCAAGGGTGGCGAAGAAACCAGTAAAGCGTTGATGGTATGAAAGGGAGGACATATCCTGCAGATCGCCAAGAAGCCCAGTATCTTGTGGCACCTCCATGATTTCAACTTCTTCTGGGGGCTCATCTGTGACAAGGTTGCGTGCCTGGTGTTTCAGGTTGTCCCAGTAGCGACCGGCACCGTTGAGCGCTGCGCCAAAGCCTTCTTGTGCATGGTCAAGCAGGCCCGCTCCGCTTGCGCGGCTTGACGGCCGACCTCCCGATGACACTGTGCGACGGCTAATTGTGGGCCTGAGCTAAGACAACCTACACCAACCACGCATAAGATCACTCAAAAGAAGACCGAGTGTTGATCATGATGTCACACTTTGAAACCTCCACGAAAACACACACACACACCACAAACACACACCTAAACGCATTTAACCATTTGTCGATCCTTTCGCACGAATAGTCATCACCAAGAAAAGACATGTGTACGAGAAAACTCTCAAAAATAAGTTCAAAAATGAGGGCAGGGGGAAAAAAAGTATACGAGCCCACCAATCAGAGAACACTAAAGCCGAGTGAGGATTCTCTTTATACCATCGTACCACACAATATCTTTCTTGGTGCTCTACATGACCATCACCCGGAGACAATAGCAAGTCCCTCCCTAGGAGCTACAGGAAAGGAAAACACACACACACACACATATATATATATATATATATATATATATATATATAGAGCGAGAGAGAAAGAGTGTGCATTACTAGTAGTAGTGCTGATGCTGCTTATTCGATGAATGCTCTTACGTCTTACAAACCAAAACCACCGAGCATGCGGTCTTACCACCAAGATTGTGAAATAACACCACACGAACGGGTGAGAAAATAAAAAGGCACGACCGTCAAGCTTTTCTGGGCACACTCACGACACGGTCTTCACGACGCCGTCCTGCTCACGCAGTTTGCCGTTGCGGATGGCGGCCTCGATGGCGTGTTGCACATGCTTCGCGATGCGGGCGTTGTAGCTCTCCACCATCTTCTTTGCGAGTGCCCGCACGCCGAGCGGCGCAGGGGCCGCCTCGTCGATAATCCAGCCGGCCACTTCCGCCACCTCAGCGTCGGTACCCAGCACAAAACTCGGGACAATGCAGTCCGCCTCCGTCATCGCCCGTGGGAGCTCGAGTCGCTCGAGCCTCCGCCTTGTGGAGCCATGGCTGGGGGCTGCTGCTACCTCGGCCGTGTGCGGTGGCGTCGACTCCGCCCGTCCCCGCTTGCGCGGGGAGCCGTTGGGCTTCTCGCTGCATTTTTTCCCCTTCACTGGGCTCTCTTTCGTGGCTGTTGCCTTCTTCTTCGAGGTCACCCACGTATCATCGTCGGAGTCGCTGCTCAAGTCCATTGGTGGTCGAGGCGGCCGTAGCGGCTGTCGCTTGCCGCTGTCACCATCTTCGTCGCTCTCGCTGTCAGTGCGTTTGCGTGGTACTGCCGCTGTCGCCTTCTGCCGCCACCTCCCCTGGTACTTCTCTGTCTCGGTGATGCACGACGTATGAGCCTTGATGCTGTTAAGGTCGAACACTTCCATGCAATCAACACAAGTGAAGGAGGCGCCACGGCATGAGTTGGCGTGGCCCACCACCTTCGGCTTCTTCACCACGTCCTGGCAGAAGCTGCAGGTGAAGGACACCATTCCTGCTGCTGCACTCCACAACCACACCTGCTCTGTACGCTCGGCTGGTCGGATACGGAGCGCACGGCGGCGAGAAAAGGGATGAAAGAAAGAAAGAGAAAACGCAGGAAGAGAGCGACAACAGCCATAGTAAAGGCAGCACACCGTCACATTGGCTTGCACGTGTGCACGTGGGTGATCATAGCTGGGCCAACAACATCCTTAGTGAAAACAAAGAAATAACACACATGCACACACAAACACACGGAAGAAGCACCCCCCTTTCCCCTCTCTCTCTCTCTCTCTCGTTCTCCGCGGAGCGGAGTGGCACTCTCAGGAGACATGGTAGAAGCGGAAAGGAAACACAAACACAAAGGAATAAAAAAAAAAAAATAGCGGCAAGTCGCAAGAAGAAACAAACCACAAAAAAAGTGCAGGAAAACATGTCCCACGTCCTCTAGTAACGCCGCAAACAGTGGGGAAAAGCCACGTCAGCGACTTCCGCTGCTTACCTCCCCTCCACCGCCAATGTCATGCTCTCTTTCACNAAAAAAAAAAAAACAGAACAAAGAAGACACCACGTCCCAGCAGTAGGCACATAACGAAGAACGCCAAACACGAAAAGACAAGTATATACAGGAAACTAAGAGAAGGGCCCACAAGTCAAAATGTCTAGAGAGAGAAGGGCATCAACTGACCCCGTTGCTCTGCTACTCTTGTTCACGGCGAGGCAAGGAAAACAGGGAAAGACCTGTTAAAATGTGTGTTGGTAGAGACACACTAAGTGCGGAAGGGCCGTGAAAAAAAAAAGGGTGAGGCATTGAGGTAAACGAAAAGAAGGGAAGTTGTTTGAAGTCAAGACGGGGGGACCGTGACGACTGGGACCGCAGAAGCGGACCGTTGCCGCCGTTTCTACAATTTCATTTATCTCCTCACACACAGACACAGGCACGTACGCACATGCTCTTTCCCCTCACTTTTCCTCGTTGGATTTCGCTGCATCGACGTGACACGCGGAGCAGGCACACAACGACACCTCGCCGGTATTGGCACCACATCAATGGCCACCAACAATGGAGAGATCGTGGGAGTGGCATATGGACAGATAAACAACAACAAAAAAAAGATGAGCGAAAAATGCGCGCCGGCCTGTCGTACGGCTGGGGCGTGTGACACCAAGACGACTGCCTGATACCGTCAGTGATGGAGGAGAGGGTGAAGAAGGCCGGTAACACAAAAAAAAAAATATAAGGAAACGGAACAACGAATGTAGCAAAGAAGCAGCAGCAGCACATAAATAGCTAGAAGGTACGCACCAAAACAAAAGAAAACAAAGCCCGGCCAATATATCAAGAGACCGGAAGGGTCTCCGTGCAGGTCGAGGCTGACGGAAGGGAAAAAAAGAGAAATCCGGCAAAACCAAAAAACAAGCCAACCAAACAATTGCGGGAGTCAAACTATAACACCAAGTCCAGCATGCAACGCTTTGTCCTGCCTCCATCCCTTTCTGTTATCTTTTCCCCCCATTTGATCTTATCTGTCCCCTCTCTCTTTTCTTTTTTTTTTTTGTTGTTCCGTCGAATCGGTTCGGAGACATTATATTCGTTTCCCTCCGTTGCCCTCCCGAGGTTCGAGGGTCTGTGTGTCTGTGTGCATGGCTAAGCCGTGAGTGGGCCCCTCCCCGGTTATATCCAAAGTCCGCAAATGTGTTGTCGCGCGCTGACCGACACGCCCATCTCTCTCTCGTGTCCACCACGTCACCCACACAAGAGGGCGGAGCACACCACAGAAACACACACACACACACACACCGAAATCAGCAAGCATCCTCAACAAATAAAAAAAAAAGCAGCCTCACCAAAACAAGAGTACAGCTTGTGGTCTGCACAACAACACGAGATTCAGTGAGAGGAAGCACATGTACCAAGCGAACCAAAAAAAAAGGGTTTCGAGGAAGAAGAGAAAAGCGAACCGAAAAAAAAAAAAGGACATCAAGTGAAGAAAGATGCTTTCGAAAAAGATGGCCCATAAGATGACCATCGAGTTCCTCTCCCACACACACGCGCTTGCAGATATATTCCGGCATTAACGTTGGCAGTAGGGCTTCGGGGAGGAAGGCATTTCAAACAGGTTGGTGTAGAAAGTCATGCTTAGTGAATATGATCTTAGGCGCGTGACAAGGACTGAAAAAAAAAACACCTTTCCTTTCGCCTTCCATCCCTTTCTCGCCAGGAAAAAAAAGGAAAGGTAACTCTCCTATTGAACTCCCCCCCAAAAAAATGTCTTTGGTGGAGCTTAAACCACCGGTACAGGGGCAGTTGGGCCAAGAAATAGTCCACGTTACTGTGCGCGATAGGGATTGTGCGTGTACCGTGTGCAGTGCTTCTTTTCCCCATTTGATGATAATGTTTTTGTCATTATGGTGGTATCGCTGAGAGAGAGGTCATTGTTGCTGTTAATCGTCCCATGAAAAGACCCTATGGACGCGTAGCTGCTTAGTGGAGTTTTCTGCGGTGGTGCAGCAGCAGAGACATCTGGCGGTCCCCACCTGACAGAGGTTGACGTAGACTGGCGCAACGTCATGGACGTGGACGCATTCAATTCTGGCGAGTAGAGCGAGCTGGAAGGGCTGTTCAGCGTCGCCAACGGTGATACATAAACGTTGCTCGACTGACTCCCTCTCCTCATCGCAGCGCCAAACGGTGTTTGACGTTGACCGTACATAAACTTCTGTTGGAACCTTCTGTCTGCACACGGCCACAGCGGCATCCTCATGGGATGCATACTGTGCCGGTTATCCCTGTAGTATGCTCGGCCATCATTTGGAAAAGGGGACGAGGCGGGATACTGATGATGCTGCTGCTGCATGAAGAACTCCTTGCCGTAGAAGTGGGAGAACATCGCGTGTGCCGACGATAGCGGCATCAAGGGCCACATAGGGGGTCTCTGTTGCACAAAAGTTGCGGCGTCCGCGTGGCACCATGTCTGCTCCCCGCTTGCAGAGGCCTTTCGGCACGAGTCTGCGAACGCGGCAGAGCGGCGGCGGCTGCGCGACGGCAGATCCTCAGCGAGCTTCACCATGAGCGGGATGGAGCCACTGCTGGGGAACGGCCGCGTATTGTGAATGGCCTCCGCCGCCTTCTCCGCCACACCCTCCATGAGGAACGCTACAAACGCGATGCGGCGCTCCAGCCGCTTGTCTCTGACGCTGGCAGTGTCCTTGTGTAGCGTGACGCTGCCGACAGGCCCAAAGCGGCTGAAGAGGCGCGCCAAGTCTCCCGCAGTGACGTCGAGTGGTATATTCCGCACGAAAAGCTTGAAGATCTGCTTGCGGGCCTCGCCAACAGGAGCGTCGTCGTGCTGCTTCTTCGCCCAATGCACTGAGATGGTGCGGCCGTGTATGAGGCTTCCATGGCAGTACTGAAGTGCAGCGCGGGCCTGGTCCGCCGTGGCGTAACGCACAAAGGCGGTGCCAAGATTCTCGCCGGTGTGGATGTTGCGCATCACAGCCGCGGAGACAATCTCACCGTAGGGGGAAAATATNTAACGCACAAAGGCGGTGCCAAGATTCTCGCCGGTGTGGATGTTGCGCATCACAGCCGCGGAGACAATCTCACCGTAGGGGGAAAATATCTTCCGCAGCTCGTGCTCATCCACAGCACGCGACAGATGGCGAATGAACAGGTTCGCATCACTGTACACTTCATCGAAGGGGGCTTCTGGTGTCCCTTCGAAAACCTCCTGGTGTTCCTCCTGCATGGACTTCTTTCTGTAGGTGATGGCCTGGCTTTTGTTGCTTCGTGATACCGCGACGAAGAATGTTCGCTTGTATGCTCCCTTCCCGTTTAAGGCGTGAACTTAAGTAACCCTGTGGCACGTCGAAGGAGCAGCAACAAGAATAGCAAGGACGAAGGCAAAAGGAAGAAAAAAAAAAAGACGGCATCAATATGTAGATAAAGCCAACACCCACGCAATTCCACCCACACCCCGGGCACACAGTATATGTTTCGCTGACTCTTAAAACGGTTGTGACGTCGCGAGACACACACACACAAACTTATAGACACAGAGTGCACTGCCATCATTGTTTTTTTTTGCTCTTTTATTTGCCTTTTTCGCCTGTTACTCGTTCATGTTATTCGGTCCCCTTTCATACGGCAGTTTATTCTACACTGGACAAATTCACTAAGTAGGCCCACGGGGCCGTGGCACAAAAAGAGGGAGCACAGCACAAATAGTCCCGAGAGGTCGAATGGGAGCCAATGAAGAAGCAAACACACACACAAACTTCACTTGACCAAACAACACACACACGCACCAATGTAGAGAGACACGCACCATTCCTAAAAGAAGTGCACCGTCTTCTTCGCTGTCTGGGACTCCTTCGCCCGCCTCGCCTCATCGGCCTCAAGTGTGCTGTACACTTGTTTCAACTCCCGTTTCTTACTCCGCCGCTCGCGTTGCGCCTGCTTCGCTAGCTGTTGCCGCATTTTCTTTTCCTCCTTCGTCTCCCCCTTGTGCCGCGCAAAAAAGAGCAGCTGTGTGTCCAACTGCGGTGCCCCCTCCATGTCTTTCTCCTCCTCCTCCTGCTGCTGCAGCTGACGTTGGGCTGACGCTGAGGACGATGATGAGGGCATCGCCGCCGCCCCTCGTCCCCTCCGCCGCTTCCCCGTCTCCGGAGCCCGAATGACGTTGGGCTGGTTAAAGTACGTCGAATACGTCGACACCGCTGTCTCGCAGTCAAGCCGGTTTGACTTATTTCCAACGTCCCTCACGACATATACCTCTTCTTCTTCTTCTACCTCCTCTCGCTCCTGCTCCTGCCTCCCCTCATCAACCTCATATTCTCCACCATGTTCGTCCCGCCGCTGCTCAGACATGCGCTGCCGCGCTGCCTGCTGAATCTCCTCCGTCTCGCGTTGGAACTCCGCCACGAAGCGCGCCTGCTTCTCCGGCAACACTGTCGTGGTGTACACCTCACCCTTTGGGCTCATCTCTGTTCCTGCCAGGAGTGCCATGTGCTTCAGCTGCTGTATGAGCCCCTTGTTGCGCCGCGGCTCCGCAGTGCTGTAGTCGACGCCGGCCTTGTCAACGACAAACTCCTCGAGGGCGCGAAGGTAGTGGTTCACGCCCAGCGGGCCGTGTGCGCGCGGGTCATCGGTATACGCGTCGTTCAGGCGGGCGTCGACATTGAACTCTCGCATCATCTGCGTGAACTGGCGATCCATGCCGCGTTTCGTGACGTCATGCTGCGGGTACAGATGATCGTCGCAATGCGCACCACCACTCATGTGCGCAGCAGCATCATCGTCGTCGTCGTTGTCGCCTGCCTCGTTGTCCTCCTCATCACCGTCACCAAAGACCACCTCGCGCAGGAAGTCGTCGGTGAACTCCACCTCCTCTTGGTCATCGAACAGCTTATCGTCGTCGTCGTCGTCGTCGCCGCCGTTGGTCTCGTCGTCGTCCGGGTCCTGCGCGCGAAGCAGGTTCCGCTTGCTCGTGTACTCGTCCTCACCGGGGAGCCGCACACCACCGGCCCGCGCCGACGACGACGCGGCGGTTGTGGAGGCGGTGGAGGCCCACTCGTGCGCCCAATCGCTGACGGAGGCCGACCCGTTGTCGCCCATGTCGTTGTCGTCGTCGTCATCGTCGCGCAGGCGGCGGCGGCGCGGTTCAGCGGCTGCCGGCAGGNGGCGGCGCACCTCTCGCTCCTCCACCATGACGGCGTTGGACGACTCGTCCTCATATGACTGATGCACGAGCTTGAACGTGACACCCTTTGATCGCTTGGGCGGCATGTTGTGGGTGATAAATTACTTTGCGGGAGCACGTGCAGGTGTATGTGCAGCAACTTTGCGGTCTCCTTCCGCCCCCGTACTTCACACAAAAAATATCCTCTTACTAGCAGAGCTTTTGTTACAGTGCGTGTGTGGCACGCTACCAGGACACCAGATAACACGCATTGAAAGAGTAGCAGAGGGAGAAGAAGAAGAAGCGAATAGAAAGAAGGCTGCTGTTTCGGTGCGCAAAGCAAAACCTGAGAGGGAAACGCTAATGCCTGCCCACACACAGCTGCATGTAGGCTGAGAGACATCAAAAGCTGCCACCGCAAGTGTGTCACGATCGATTATTACCCTTCTTTTCCTCCTCTTAAGACCTTTTC